CTACTAGTACTACGACTACTACTACTAATACTACTACGACTAGTAGTAGTACTACTACTACTACTACTACTAGTACTACTACTACTACTACTACTACTACTACTACTACTACTACTACTACTACTACTACTACTACTACTACTACTACTACTACTACTACTACTACTACTACGACTACGACTACGACTACGACTACTACTACTACTACTACTGCTACTACTACTACTACTACTACTACTACTACTACTACTACTACTACTACTACTACTGCTACGCCCGCGTGGCGACCGCGTGTGTATCCCCTCGTGGGCCTGCAAACCCGTCGTCGCCAACCTTTCTGCCGCCGCGCTCCGCCCGCTGCCCACGTCGGCATCTGGCGCCCGCCTGGGCCTTCCTGGCCCCGGCGCAGACCCGCCCCGCACTCTGCGGCACTTCGTCGTGGAAGCGTGGACTTCTTGCAGGTGCCCCCCCCCTCGGGGATGACAACCTGCCTGCGTCCTGGGCGCGAGACCCCACGGCTGCCCCGGGGGCGCCTTCCTCGGGCCCCCCCCCCCGACGCTTCCCTCGCCTCCCCAACTTTCCCGATCTGCCTCGCGACGACCTCCAGAAGCTCGTGCACGCCGCTGTCAGGATTCGCAATCTTTGGGTATTGACTCGACTAATTTGCGCCCCTTTCTCCTCGAATGGCGGTTGTTCTTGAGGGGCATCCTCGGCGGTGACCCCAGAGGCGAGGGCTGCGCCACTCTGGCGAATTGCACACCGCTGGCACCAGGATCTTGGTACGCTTCCTGCAGCGGTTCGTCATCGTGGGAGGCGCACTGCCGCCCCCATCCACATCCCTGATCAACCTCGCCGCCCGCGACGACTCTCTGGCAAGCCGCAGTGTCTCCTTGCGCTCCAGATCGCGTTGTGCCAGAGACGATGCAACCAACGCCGTCGGTAGTCGCGGCCCAGGGCGGGCCGCCCGCTCTAGCGCTGGGGACCGTTTCCCTTCCCGCTCTCGCTCTCCCCCTGTTCCCTCGCCAAGCACTCTGACAGCCCTGGCGCGACCCGCAGTTGTCAGGCACCCGGCCCTGCGCGTGGTCCCCTGCTCTTTGCGGACGTCACCCGTGCCTCCATCGCCAACCTTTCCCACCCGAACCTCGCCCTTGCTACCGCTGGCTCTGTGCAGTTGTGGTATCGGCAAGCTGCGCCTTGCCGCGGCGTCCTCAGGCGGCGCGGCGCCACCTCTGCCGACCCTGCCGCCCACGGCGAGGACCTGCTTCGCTTCTTTCTTGGCCATGCTTTCGGCTTCAAAGGCAATCCCGCCGCGCGCGCAACTGTGCCGAGTTTTGCCTCCCTGCTACGACGTGCGCTCCGCCAAGCATCCCTCCCACCTCGTCAAGCGTGTGAGCGTTTGCGGAGTGCACTGGGCTCCCGTTGAATTTGGAAGGACCTTCTCAACCGCGCGGTGCCGCGTGGGGAGCCTCTACTGCAGGGCAGCCCCAACCTCATCGAGCTGTGCTTCCTGGAAGATTTCGTCGAGGGATACGAGCAGGGCCGGCTTCGAGGTTCGCGCTCCATGCACCGCGAGGCAACGCGCACCCTTGCGGACAGGCTCATGGCGGGCAAGCATCGGTCCAGGTCCCCTCAGGGGGGAGGCGGTGCTCCCGGTGTTGCCATCCCACCTGCGGGTCCCCCTCCTCGCACTGCCGGGCGAACCGGGTCGGGAGCCACTTCGTCGGCGCCCGCTGCCCGCTGCAGGTCTTCTGGGTCTCGCCTGCCTGTCTCCGCGCGGTTCCCCAACCCCTGTGGGTTCCGTCGAGGCTGCCGTGCGTTCTGCCCCCCGCGGCGGGCGCTCCTCCGCCGCGCCCCCCGACTGTGCCGTCCAACGGCCCAGCAGACCGCGTGGCCCCTCCCGGAACGCCGTGGGCGCTCCGCGCATGCCCGGCCCCCCGCGCTCCTCGGGTGGCCCGGCCCCGGCCCACGGGCCCTCACGCCCCCCTGGTTCCCCCTCTCGCTGCTACCCCCGAGCCCGTGCGGGCCCCGTCCTCCGGGTGGCGCGCCTCCTTCCAGCCTGGACTGGGCAGGCGGGCCCTCGCCGACCGTCGCCTTTCGTCTGCGAGCCCCGGGTCATCTCCCGCGCCCTTGCCCGCCCTCCCCCCCGCGCCGCCGCCGCCATCGCTTTGCCCTGGCGCCCTGCCCGTCGCCAGCACTGCCTACAGCTCCATTGGAGGCCCTGGCATCGTGCCGGGGCCCCGCTCCCGCTCGGGACATGCCTCTTCGACGAGGCCTGGACGCGCCAGGCGGAAAATCTCATGGCATTGATCCCCCGCCCGCCCTCTCGACCCCAACCGTCGCGAGGCTCGCACCCGTCAGGCCGCGCGAGGCAGCCGGCCACGCTGCCGATTCGGAGGGCGCGCAGGTGCAGCGATTCCTGACCCACATGGTCGAGCTCCTCTGCGAGGGCAGTAGCGCGAAATCTTGCATAGCAATGATTGAACGCGAACTCTGGTCGACGGACCGGCGCAAAGACGGGCCCAACATCCCTGGCGCCACCTACCTCGCCCCCTCCATCTTCTCCGCTATCCGCTACCGAACATGAGGAGTTCTTCAACCATGTAAGCGGCTCCGCCCTTGCCAGCGGGCCCCCTCCCCCGGGCCCTCCCGCGGGTGGCGGCAGTTCGAGCGCCGGCCCTGCCCCGAGGAAGCGGCCTGCACGGTGACGTGGCGCCCATGCTCGTGGCGCGCGACAAGCTCTGATGCACCGCTTCTCTCACGGAGGTCGCCCCGCTGTTCCGGCGACAGCCCTCGCGCGGGCGTCTCCTCTGGTGTGCACGCACCAGCACCTCTCTGGCCTTCAGCCTCTGCGTCCCTCTTCGCTCTTTTTCTGTTCCTGGGTTGCTGTGCCGCACGGCTTCCCCTCCCCTGCCCTGGGCCACCTGCACTGGCCAGACGGACGCACCCCTGGGAGACTTCCTGCGGATCCTGCCCCCGCGGATGCTGCGTGCGCGTCAAAATCACGGTGAACGGGCTTGCTGGAGATCCGGTGCCCTCGCCGCTCTGTCGAGTTCTGGGCCTCACCGTCGCTGCGGCCAGCTTTGTTTCGTTCTGAGCACCCAAGCGCGCCCCCGAGCGCTCTCAGGTCCTCCCGCCTGTGCTCCTCTGGCCTTCTCCCCTCCCCCTCTTTCCTTGCTTCGTCCGCGCCGTGGCCCTGGCCCTTGGCCAGGCTGGCCCTGCGCCTTCGCGACCCGTTTTGCTCTGCTTGCCCCGTTCCCCTTCCCTGCCAGCCGTTGCTAGCCAGGCCCTGGATCCCCCCACCCGCCAAGAAGCTTCGCAAGCTTCTCCCCTTTGGGGCTGCCTTCTTGGTCGCCGCCGTTTCCGGTGCGCCACTCGGCTCTGCCGACTTTTGCGGCAACTCGGCTTGCGACTTCTTGTGGCTCGTCGCTGCGCCTGCTTGTAGGTCGGTCCTTGGCCTTCTTGTCGTTCATTCTGCTTCATCGTTCCCCCACCTTCCAGTCCCAATTGGCTTATGTCACCCTCATTCGCTGTAGCTTGTCTACTCACCGTCCCCCCCGCCATGCATGCCCGGATGGTTATGGCGGCCGGCCGCTGCGTGGCCCTAAGCAGTCACTGAGGGCACGGGTGATTAGACGCGCGCGCGCTGCTGCTGTTTTCGACCTTCTCCGCCTCGGCGCCGCTGCGCGCTAGGCCGCAACTCCAAGTAGTGTGCGCTTGTGTGTGTGTGTGCGTGTGTGTGTGTGTGTGTGTGTGTGTGTGTGTGTGTGTGTGTGTGTGTGCGTGTGTGTGTGTGTGGGTGCGTGTGATTGTGTGTGTGTGCGTTTTGTGTGTGTGTGCGTGTGTGTGTGTGTGTGTGCGTGTGTGCGTGCGTGCGTGTGTGAGTGAGTGTGTGTGTGTGTGTGTGTGTGAGTGTGTGTGTGTGTGTGTGTGTGTGTGTGTGTGTGCGTGCGTGCGTGCGTGCGTGCGTGCGTGCGTGTGCCACGGAGGGGCTGTTTCCAGAGCGGCTGTTTTGGGTTTTCCGTCTGCCGTGCTGCGCTCTGGAAGATGAAGCTGACGCGAACCTGATTAAGAATGCCATCTGCTTGAGGACAACTTTTTTTGCACAACATGTTCAACAGGTTGTGCATTTCCGTTCGCCGACCAAGTACGGCTGCGAAAAACAGCTACCACACGGAGAGACATTCGACCTCCTCGCTATGGTGGAGGGAACTAGTTACTGCGCGTGGAAGCAAGTGTGGTGATAACCGCAACGGACAGGGAACAAGGATGCACCTATGCCTCGAACGCAAGGTGCGACATCACCCTGATCTGAGACGGCGAAACGAAGACTCGCCACGGAAACTGTTAGACAAACGACGCCGAACTTCTGGACGCCCGAAGGGGGCACGGAAACATTGGGCCCGATGTCCAACATCAGATGTAATCCAAAACTGACAGCGGCCGCTGCTGGGCAGGCGACTTCTTGTCTCCAAATGGACAGCGTCCGCGACAACGCCGACAACGAGTCCCGTTCAACATGGACAAGAGCTGCTGTCAGTCTTCGTCACCATCTCTTCCGTACCCGTCGGGATCTCGGGCGCGGCCTGACCGACCCCTAACAAACCATCCCCTTTCGGGGATGGACAGGGCCCCCTTTAGTAAAACGTGGTTTAATGAAAACGACTTCGGGCCCAAATCTGGCGGGCGCAAGCAGGGAAAATGACGGCCGTGGCGCCCTCTCGAGAACCGAAAACGGAAAATTCACTAATCGACGTGTCATGGTGGGGGTTCTGTCCACCCCCGACCCGTCCGTGGCGTCATCCTCGCCTTTCAAGCTTCCCTCCGGCCGCACACATACGCCTTGGGGCGAGGCGAGGTGGACGTCACAGCAGGGGATGGTTTGCTAGGGGTCGGGCAGGCCGCCCCTGCCTTGCCTCACACGTCGTAGGCCTGGCTTGCCTCACACGTGGTTGCCGAGAATCGCCTTGCCTCACACGTCGTAGGCCTGGCTGGCCCGGACCCTACGCGGCCCCGTGGTCGACGCAGCCCGAAGAGGTCGAGCCCCGGCCTCCGCCCGCGCGCCCATCCGCGGGTGCGCACGCTCCGAAGCAGACGTTCTGGAGGTACCTGCCCGATTTCGGAGACCCTGAGCCCTAAACATGCTGCCACCTCTGAGGGGCGCACGCCCTGGGACCAAGGCGCTGCATTCTTTTCGCATCAAGTGGTTTCGCCCGACCTTGCAGGACCCGGGACCGTCACAGATCGATCTGGCTCGAAAGATGCTACAGAGAGACTGGGTCTGGGGCCCCGGTCGTGTTTTTTTTCGCAATGTTGTATGTTCTTCGCAGCGTCGGATCTCGGGGGTGCTTGCTCCCGCCAGCGTTCGCGGGCCATCCGCCGCTCTCCGCCGGCGGAGGCGCCGCCGTTCTGCGTTCGAGGCCCTTTCTGGAGCTCCCTACCTGTCGCTGTAGCCATGCCGCAGTTGGAAACTAGAGCTCGTGACGACATCCAGCAGATGCAGCTTCTCCATATTCGCCCTGCTGTCCTTCAGGCGGACCCTGTACGTCTCTGACGTAGAGTTCCTGCTCACCTCCTCGATCACGATGTTCACGACATTCCAAACTCTCGATGCAGCGGTGCACGACGGAGAAATTGTGCACTTGAAGGGGATGCTGGATCTACCCAAATATAGAGTGACCACGGGGCGGCCCACTCGAATGTCTGCGTACCCGTTGGTAAAAGTGTCCACCACAATCTGGTACGTGCCAGGGGGGAGGTTCCCGAACGTGACAGTCTCGGGCCCAAACCCGTTCCGTTCGTCCACGTCCAATTTGATGTAGTTCGACTCCACCCAAGGCCTCCTCTCGTCCCGGTTCAATGTGTCGACCCGTTTGTTGTACCAGTGTGCCCACTGAGGGAGCTGGTTGGTGGTCTTGCTTGCTTTCTTACTGCCGCCGCTTCGAACGATGCAGCGATCGTGCCTCCTCAATACTTTCGGACTTGTGAACAGGTACTGGCACCTGCTGCTCCCTGGGTTACAGCTGTACTTATCCCAGATGTCCCTGGCACAATCCAAGCTCCTTGCCCAGATATCCAAGTCCGCTGGCCTTTTATCCCAGGTCAGCACCGCCCGAAGCATAAACTGAGGGTTGTTGGGCGCCTTCCCTACGAAGGTGCAGTCCTGAAGATCTATCTCTTGACCAGGCATCTCTGGAGAGATTGCCACCTTGAAGCTGCAGGAGCTCTGGCTTGCACCACATGTGCTCCTGTCGAAAAAGCCAGAGGCCGCGGCATATTTCGGAAAAGTCACCGTGTAGAAGCTGCCCTCCGTCGCCAAGCTTACCCTGCCATTCATCGCAGTCTTGGCAGTCAGCGTCTCCGTGCCTGGCGTGCGGGCCTCGTCGGGGTAGATGCTGATCTCCGCGCCGTACACGGCCTTGTTCGTCTGGGCACTCACCACCTCGATAGTGATGGGCGGGAGGCACTGCGGGAGCTGGTTCCAGCCCTGTGCTGCTGGAAGCAGCTTGACGTTCGCGACGCCGAAGCCCGTCATTCCTGATGTCTCTGGCATACCCAAAGCGGCCGCAACGGCATCCTTCAACCCCCCACCATCGACGATGGCCTTCACCTGCTGGCCACTCGCCCCGCTGTAAACTTTTGCGCCGACCTGCAGCTTCGAGCCCAGCCAGCTGATGCCGACCTCCACGTCGGAGGGCATCACGTTGTACCCCAGCGCGTCAGAGATTGCGAGCCTGACCACCGACTCCCACTGTTCCTCCGATCGCCTCTTTCCCGTCTCGCTGTCGACATCGACGGACAGGGTGAAGGACACGCGGTCCTCCATCTCGAGGTTGGCGTCCACCCACGCGGCCGAAGCGTCCACCGTGTCGTTACCGGGGAAGAGCTTGCATCTCTTCTTGCCCGTGGCGCCACCTCCGCTCTTGGCGCCCTTGCAACGAACGTCGCAGTTGCACTGCTGGTTCCCAGTACACCGCGCGGAACACAACCGCACGTCTAATTTCCCATACTGGTCATCGGGCCTTTCGCAGATCGGCGCGCAGACAGGGAACTGCGCTTGCGGTACATCTAGGTCGTAGGGAGGCAGCCGGGACCTGCCACACTGCACCCAACTGCCCTCTGGCGCGCCGCCGACCCGCTGGATGTTGTTTTCGCGGCGGCACCTGACCATGCACTTCTCCCCTTCCATGAGGATGTTAGTTTTGGGGCACTGCGCCAGGTCAATGGTGCCCCTCTGCGAGTCGAGCGGGGAGCACTCGCTCTTGCAGCTGCTCCAGAGGAGATGCAGGTCATAGTTGTTGGCCCACTCGGCTTTCAAGTCGTCCCCAATGCACGTCATCCTCCGCAGCACGCCGGCGTCCCCGTTGCGGTCTCCGAGGCCGTCCTTGCAAGTGATGTAGCACGGGCAATCTTTTTGGCCGGCCGTGCAGTTGTCGCAGCCCACGGCCTTCAGTCGGGAGCCGAGGTCGAGCGCGGCAGGGTCGCACTTGTGGTGGCAGACTGGGAGGTCCTCCCACTCCGCCATCCTCAGCGGGGTGCACTTCCAGGGGTTGCCGCCGCGCAAGGTAAAAAACCTCTCCACGATGTTGTCGCTGGTTAGCCCGCACTTCCCTCCCCAGAGCTTCCCTGGCCACCAGCAGCACTGCTCGCCCTTCCAGGCCGACTGGAGGCAGTCCTCCTGGCTGGCGATCTTGCTGCATTGCCGCTCCTAGCGGAACAAGCAAGGCCTTAAACACAAAGACTCGAAGGTCCACGCGGATTCCTCGGATCGGCGTTGGAACCCCTTCCCTGGCGCGCGGAGTGCGCCAGGGGCGGTGCCGGAGGCGCCGCCAGGGGGCCCTAGCGCCGACCGGAGGAATTCACGCGAACTCCTGAGTTTTCATGTTTATGACATTGTTTGTTCCCCCAGCTCCTGCAAAAAGTCCTGCGCCTCTCTGATGACGCACCTCTTCTCGCCCTCCGAGCCTCGGGGACGCACTATAACCCGGGTCGGCGCAAAAACCCGGGTGAGCCAGGGCCACGCCGCCAGGCCAGACCCAGGTCAGCAGAGGGAGGAGAAGTGAAATCGGCCCCACCTGGCTCCCAAGCCCGGGTCAGTCAGAGGGTGGCGATATCCCCAGTAGCGCTGGCCCCCGCTACTGGGCGGCGCGCACAAAGGGGTTGGGGGAGGGGGGAAAACTTCTTAGGAGGAGGCTGCTTCTTAGAAGGCGCCGGCCTGACATCCTCAGACGTGGCCCACACCTTCTGAGAAGCAGGGTGCTTCTAAGAATCCTTCGCCCCTCCCCCAACCCCCTTTGCGCGTGGCTGAGTTACGTGAGCCCCGAGAGCCGTTCACGAGCTTGTAGCCGGGAGTGCACGTCATGTCGCACTCGCAGGGCTCGGCTTGGTCTGGGGTGCAGTCGCAGCCAGCCATCTGCAGCCCCTGCCTCCAGGAGACGCCTCGCCACTTGTCGATCCAATTGTCCTTCCGGAGGTCTGGCGACGGACACTTGAGCGGTTCCTCCTTGATACATACCTCGAGGAACAGGACACAGTATACGCATAAACTTTTGGAGCTCTGCGCGAATTTCTGGATCTTCGAAATTGCCTGCTGGCGGCGCGTCTGGCGTCGCCCTGAGCGCTCGGAGTTTCGAAAGCATCTATTTTTGGATTTTCCCCAATATCCAAGGGATGCTTCTTGTTATTACTCCGACCGCGCCGAGAACTCACCTCGCTCCCCTTCTTCCTTCCCATGATATGTTACGCCATGATATGTGATGGTATGATGTATTTTGTTATGGTATGATATTCCCCATGTCCAAAGGATGGGGTTCTTGCTATTCCTCGAGAGAGCGTGATCCACCGCCGCTTTACTGTGGAAAATTGCCGCCCTTTTCCTCCGGAACCCGGGGGTCCCCCCCCCCCCTCCGAAAATCCGAAAATCCGCCCCCCCCCCCCCCCCCTCCCTGCTGGAACTCCCCCCCCCCCCCCCCCCCCCCTCCCCTAACCCTCCTCCCCCCCCCCCTCGAACTCGAAAACCGGGGGGGGTCACTACCGGTTCGAACCCCCCCCCCCCCTCGAAAACCGGAGGGGGGGGTCACTACCGGTTCGAACCACTGAGCTGTCCCACTGTTCCCACCACTGTCCCCACTGTCCCCACCACTGTCCCCACTGTACCTCTGTCCCATTGTCCCACCGCCGTCCTCGCCACCGCCTTCACCACTGTCCCCACCACCACTGTACCCTCCACTGTCCTACTGTTTCCACCACATTCCCACTGTCCCCACACCACTGTCCCCACCACCACCGTCCCCACCACTGTCCCACTGTCCCCACTGTTCCCACCATTGTCCTCACCATTGTCCCCACCACTACCGTCCCCACCACTGTCCCACTGTCCCCACCACTGTCCCGCTGTCCCCTCACCACTGTCCCCACCATCACCGTCCCCACCACTGTCCGCCCCCCCCCTCGGTTTTCGAGGGGGGGGGGGTTCAACCGGTAGTGACCCCCCCCGATTTTCGAGTTCGAGGGGGGGGGGGTTCGAACCGGTAGTGATCCCCCCCCTTTTCACGATGAACTGGGGGGGGGGGGGTCGAACCGGTAATGACCCCACCCCGGTTTTCTGGAGGGGGGGGGGGAGGGGTTCGAACCGGTAGTGACCTCCCCCGATTTTCCGCCAGTAGCGGTAGAACGCGCTCTTTCCATTCCTCACATCCAAAAAATGGGTTTTGTTCCCCATATCTAAAGAATGGGGGTCTTGTTCCCCATATCCAAAGGATGGGGTTCTTGTCATTCTCCATAACCAAAGGATGGGGTTCTTGTTTTTACTCCGACCGCGCCGACTCCTCCAGAACCTCCCTCCTCCTCCTCCTCCTCCTCCTCCTCCTCATGTTATGCTATTGCATGGTATGTTATGGTATCATATGCTATGCTGTTTACATTTTTTTGGTAGGGCATATTATGTTCTGACATGTCATACTATGTTATACTATGGTATGCTATGTTATGTAATAATATGTCCTTCGATGCTGGTCCTATGATGTGATGCGGTATGCTGTGCTATGTTATGCTGTGATGATGGTGGTGATGATGACGGTGGTGATGATGATGATACTGATGATGATGATGATGATGCTGATGATGATGATGATGATGATGATGATGATGATGATGATGATGATGATGATGGCGGAGCAAATTCTGAGGATGTCTCGAGCGAGGCGCGGGTTTCAGCACCCTCAAAGGGGAGCCGCCAGGGGGTATCTCACTCCTCGGGTCGCGCCAACATGGCGGGGATGTCTCCAGCGGTTTGCCTGTTTTCGGCCGCGACGTCCTCCGCTTTCGGAACAAATTCTGAGCATGCCTCGAGCGAGGTGCTGATTTTCGCCCCCAAAGGGGGCCAGATGTTAAGGATGTCTCGATCGGTTTGCTTGTTTTGGTCAGCAAAATCGTGGGCACAGATCCTCCCCAGGATGCAACAGGAGGCTCCAGCAGGCCCCAGGAGGCCCCAAAATGCCACAGGAGGTCCCAAGAGGCATCTGGAGGCCACAAGAAGGCTCAAGAGGTCACAAGATGCCGGCTCCAGGACGCCCCAGGAAACTCCAGGAAGCCTCAGGAGGCTCCAGGATGCTCCAGGAGGCCACAGGAAGCGCCAGGAGGCCCTGGAAGGCCCCAGGAGGCCCCAGGAACAGGAGGTCTCAGACGGCCACAGGAGTGGCTCCAATCCCATGTGTTGTACGTCTGCTCGTGTAGATTGTACCTCCCCTGGAGCACGAATCCTTTGTGTTTCACGTCTGTTTGTATAGTTTGTCTTTCTCCGGTGTGTCCAATCCTATCTTTTTTACGTATGTTCCTGCAAATTGAGCCTCCCTTAGGGCACGAGTCCTTGGGATCGTAAGTGCGTTCTTATGAAGTGCCTTTCTCCTGTGGCCCCAGGCCGCAGTGTTTTATGCACGCCTGTTCATATAGATTGGGCCTCTCTTTAGGAGCCAGAAAAAGCACACAAAGGAATTTCACACGAATGGTTTTGGCACCACCAACGGTGCAACGCATGTGCACACATGCCACTGGATCCCCTGCGATCCGAACCAGGGTTGATGCACGGCCGTGCTCTGGGATGCAGTTGAATCGCATGGTGTGGCAAGGCTGTCGGCGGCGACGAAATCCCAATATCCGCTACCAACAAACTGTCCATGGTGGTTTGGCACAGCCAAACCGCCGTGCAACGTCAGTTTGTTCATCCGTTGACAGCAGCACGCGTCGCGGCAGCAGAACGCAGTAGTGCGCACGGGCATGCAGGGCCGGCGATGTGGCTGGCCAGCTGCCAGCGCGACTTCGGCAAAAAAACCGACATCCACGTAGGATCGTTTTGAGCGTGGTATCCGGCGCAGCTGCATCGCACTGCCAGGCGCCGCGGCCTTGTGATTGTAGCGCCAGGCCCCGCGCGCTCCTCGAGGCGGGAAAACAAGCTCTACACAAAGGAATCGCGCGTGCTCTTGTGGGGGCGGCGAAAACGATCGTACACAAAGGAAATTCTTTTGTGTGCCCCCCGCGTTGGCAAGTGTAACCAGACCGTACACGAAGGAATTACACGAGACTTCGTGGCACACAAAGGAATTACAGCAACGCCCTCTGGGTTGCGCCCTTTCGCGCGCGGTGACAGCTCCGAGCTGGAAAAGGAAGGGGGGGCGGGACAGGGCAAAGCAGGGGAAGAGAACAAAAAAAAAGAGGAGGGCGAGAAAAAAGCGAAGGAAGCAACGGAAGGAAACCAGGATGCGCGCAAGCGAAGCTAACACTGCGCGCCGAGACAGTTGTTCGTTCGTTTGGTTGGCCGTGCGGCAGATGAATAGGAAAAGAATTGTTTGCTGCCTATCGACGGGACTTCTTGTGAATGAGACGCGCGCTCTCTTCCCAACCCCCTTTCCCACACCCCGTTGCGAGCGCGCGACGATTTGTGCTGGCCCGCGGGCAGAGGACTGTCAGTTGCTGGTGAGCGGCCTTTCCACCTGTCACGCGTTCCGAACATATGCGACCAGCTAAGCGCATTTGCCACGCAAGCCGCCAGCTCCAAACACCGACGCCGCCCCGATCCCCGCATCCGTGCCAGGCACCCTCTCAACGACGCCCCCTTCCGGCGTAAAACCAATAAAACCCTTTGTGTTTATGTGTTTTGTCCTGTTCTTGGGGCACGAATCCTCCCCAGGAAGCCCCAAGAGGTTTCAGGAGGCCCCAGGAGGCCCCAGGAGGCCTCAGGAGGTTTCAGGAGGTTTCAGGAGGCTCCAGGAGGCCCCAGGCTCATGCGCAGAGGCGCGCTCGTCCTACTGAATTCACGCTCCAACTCGTCCACAACAAGATTCACCCCCAGACCGGCAATACCCAAGCACGTTCATATTCGAATACTCTTGCGCCTAGAAGCTCACGGCGGACAGGTACATGCTTATACATGCACATCTGGGGAGCTCCACGCAATACATAATTACCGACCGCGCCGATTCCTCCCAAACCTCCTTTATCTTCTTCCTTGTCATTTCATGTTATATGATACAGTATGATGGAATTATATGGTCTGTTATGCTATCGAAAGTAATGGTAGGGCATGCTATTTTTTGTTATGCAGTACTATAATATGATGTGCCATGTTATGATGTGTTATGTTTTGATATGGTCTGACATGTTATGTCACGCTGTGCGATGCTAGAATGTTACTGTTATGTTATGTTACGGTATGACATGCCATGCTATGTGTTAAGTCATGCTGTGATGATGGTGCTGCTGATGCTG